GGATTCGAGGTTCCGGGAAAAGAAGACTATGTTTGTAAGCTGAAGAAGTCCTTGTATGGACTTAAGCAATCTCCGAGGCAATGGTACAAGAGATTTGACAGTTACATGCTTGAGTTGGGCTACAACAGAAGTCCATATGATTGTTGTGTATATCACAGCAAGGCAGAGGATGGTTCGATGATATATCTAGTTCTGTATGTGGATGATATGCTCATACCTGCGAGGTCGAAGTCTGATATTCAGAAGTTAAAGGGGCTTCTCAGTGCTGAGTTTGAGATGAAGGATTTGGGAGCTGCTCAGAAGATCTTGGGTATGGAGATTTACAGGGACAAAATGAATAAGAAGCTTTTCTTGTCACAGAAGAGCTACGTCCAGAAGATACTGTCGAGGTTTGGCATGTCTTCAGCAAAGCCCTTAAATACTCCTAGTGCTTCAAATGTTCATCTATCCTCAGCTTATGCACCGCAGTCAGAGGCTGAGAAGGAGTACATGTCGAGAGTCCCATATGCTAGTGCAGTAGGTAGCTTGATGTACGCTATGGTATGCACTAGACCTGATCTTGCTCATGCTGTTAGTGTTGTCAACAGGTTTATGATACAACCTGGGAAGGAGCATTGGCAGGCTGTGAAGAGGATCTTCCGGTACCTTAAGGGTACACCTGATGTGGGGATTAGCTTCGGAAGTGATGCAGAGTGCTTGGTGTCTGGGTATTCTGACTCGGACTATGCTGGAGATGTTGACATGAGGAGATCGATGACCGGTTATGTATTCACTCTTGGGAGTTCTGTAGTGAGCTGGAAGGTAACTTTGCAGTCGGCAGTGACATTGTCTACTACTGAGGCAGAGTATATGGCGTTGACAGAAGCTGCAAAGGAGGGAATATGGTTGAAGGGACTGGTTGGTGGTCTTGGTCTACATCATGATCAGGCAGTGGTGTATTGCGACAGTTTGAGTGCAATATGCTTGGCCAAGGATCAAGTCCACCATGAGAGGACTAAGCACATCGACGTGAGGTATCATTTCTTGAGGACAGAGAAGAGGATGAAGGTGAAGAAGGTTGGCACCGCGGATAATCCTGCTGATATGTTCACGAAGCCGGTTCCACATGGCAAGTTCCAACACTGCTTGGACTTGCTGAATGTCTTGAGTGGGTGACTCCGCCCTACGGGCCATTGATGGCGGGAGAGAGAGAGAAGGAGCAGAGTACATCAGAGATTTCAGAGGAAGAGGATTCAAGTCAAGGTGGAGATTTGTTGATATGACTTGAATCGGACTATCAGCCGCTACGGTGTATGGGCTCAATGTTATTTGGGTTCGGGTTCTGGGCCTGGTCTGTAACCGTTTCCTTTGGCAGATTGGATTAGGTTTAGACCCACATGGAGAAGTACTATAAATACTTCTCATACTCCTCTGTAATCTGTAATCTCCTTGATATATTGAAACTGGCTCTCTCTCGCCCGTAGACGTAGCTAACACACATCGTGTTAGTGAACCACGTAAATCGTGTGTCGTGTTTTCGATTCTCGCTTTCGTATTCTTGCTTTGTCGATTCCGGCGATTTCCCGATCCGTAGCAGCGCGTTTATAACATATTTTGTATTTGAATCACTGCATCGATTTAAAAGACTCGACGATTCGTGCGTTCTCGAATCCGCCATCTAGCGTCGACGACGGCAGAGGAGGAGAGGGTTTGGGAAGTGGCGGCTGGCTTGGACTCGGAGTCGGAGACGGGAGAAGATGCTATGGTGGAGGAGTAATGGAAATTAGAAGGAGGGGAGCAAATTAATCTCTAATGTGCCCTGATGGGTATGGCTGCTCCTCTGGCTGGTGAATGAGAGTGGAAGAGGAGAGCGATGAAAGAGAAGAGAGAGTGAAGCGGCTGCCATCTCTCCTCCTTTATTATTTATTTTGTTCGCTCGGATTCATTAGCTTCGGCAGCGGCGGAGGAAAGATTAAATCTCTAATTATAATATTTTTTTATCTTTTATTCATTTTATTTTATTGTGAATTGAGTTGAAAATTGATAAAGAATTTTTTTATTTTGTTTATTAATTGTCACGTCACCCAGTTATCGGTCAACTTTGAGAGTTGACTGCCACATCAGACAAAGTTAACGGAATTGGACGGAGAGTGACCAAATTTAAACGTTTCACTAATCTTAGTGACCACGAATGGAATTAATTTTTTTTAGTGACCAAATGTGAACGTTTTTAACAAACTCAATAACCAACCTTACAATTAACCCGAAAGAAAACATAGAAAAATATTTTTAGGCTAAAAAATCACTTTTCGGGCAAAAATACATTTTCCTGGCGAAAATGTACTTTTAGGCGTAAACCCCCATTCTTCGGACCGCGCATTTTATCGACGATTTTAAAACCGTCACTAAAGATCGTCGCTAAATGTTTTTATATAACTCAACCTTTATTTTATTTAAATAATTATATTATGTTAATATTATATGTATGTTTAGTAATTATATTTATGAATTAAAAATAAACATAAATTATGAAAAATATTTGTACAAATTAATTGATACTTATTTTTTAATTATGTAAATAGTGCTAAAATAAGTAAATTAAGTATAATAGCAATGAAATAATTATAGTATCTTAAAAATTGTAAATTATCTTAAGGAGTGTATAAGAGTATGAATATTTAGTCATAAATTATCATAAATATTGTAAATATGAATAATTCATTTTAATTATGTATAATATTTCCAAATTTTGATTAAACCTTTTAAATTGTATTTATTTTATAGGTAATTAGATCATCATCCCTAAACTAAGTTTTATAAAACTTCTACGGAATCGGGGCACATAAAGTGCTCTTTGTGGCTTGCGGAAGGTCAGGCAAATAAATCTTTTCGCAATTACTAGAGTTATCGACATGAAAAATTATTGAAACCATCATTGATTTCTCAAAATGTGGATACAAATGTGTTGCAATCGACCATTTCTTGATCGAACATTCCCGACAAAAAGAGATAAATAGTGCCAAAACTTCCATCGAGGTTTTTGGGGGCTCTAAGGGTGGTAACTAAGAGTTTCTTGATCCTATCATGTATATTTTCAAGATGAGAAAGATTGTTGTTAGTGGAGGCAAAGACGATTTGGCTCTAAAATAATGACATAGTAGGATTGGATATATTGAGGTTAGGGTAGTTTGGAATTAGGGTTTGAGAGGGGTAGAATGTTAAGAGGGGAAGATATGCTTTATTTTTTATTGTTATATGTCATCTTGAGTTAGGGGTCGTTTGGAGAACGGGATTTAGGGCGTGGATTCATTGAATCCGTAGATTTTGTAGAAAGTTATGTTTTTTTGTTGCCTTTTGTATTGTGGATTTTAGCTTTAGAGATTTCAAATCCCTAAAATCTATGGATATCAAATCTCTCATAATCAGAGAGATTCTATTATTGATTCATGAGATTTTTTTTCTCCTACCTTTTCTCTTTCTTTTATTTATTTATCATATTAAATATATTTACTAACAAAGTTTTTAATATTTCTCGAACTACTCTAATTTTTTTTATTAAGGATAAACATATTATTTAATATAAAAAATTTATTTTTATTTTCATTTATTGTTAACAATCACAGTTACCAAACAATAAACATTTTAAAATCTATTTTCAACAATTCGAAGAGTTAGAATCTTTAGATTGTTGACAATCTATAGATTTAAACTCAAATTTTCCAAACAACCCCTTAGATTGATTCAATTGTGGTTAAACCTTTTCCTAATTGGTCAAAGTCAAATCCTATTTGTCAAAGGTAAACCCTATTTTTTTCAAAGTCAAACCCTAATTCTAATAGGTAAAATTCGTACCCTACCATATTGTTTAATTTCTTAGTACGTAAATAGTGATAAAAGGAAAGAAAATTACTTAAAATTTGAAATAATAATAACATAATATACAACCGGTAAACCACTAATTCTTACATGCACCACTTATTGCTCAATATGACTGATGGTTTCTTTCCTTTTTCTATGTACTTAGGTTGTCAATCGGACGTGAGTAATAAGGAAATTTGTGGAATAAAGGTAATGTATTTTAATTAAGAAAAAATTTTCCTTTATTAATTATGTAAATATAATCAGTCGTGATAGTCCGTCAATTACTTCAATAATATAGTTTATTTTATTAGTTTCATTGTTTCCGCCCCTAAAATTAGAAAAAAATTACCATGATTAGATTAGAACTTTCAAAATCATTGCCTAGATAAATAGCAATAATTTAAAATCATAATTTAAAATAATATTTAATCAGTTTATTAATAATTTTTAACGAAAAAAGGTCGTCGGCGGCTACCGTCCCAACGTCGGAGTCAGACCCCGTCCGAATGCAAGCGTCGGATCGTGCCTCCCCGTCCGTTCTCCTTCTTCGAAATCTTCCACACCGTCCGGTCGATGATAGTGGTGACTTAATTGCCGTTGTGGGGTGGCTGGTGGTGGGTTGGAAGAAGTGATGCGGGAACAATGAAGGGGAAAAGGAGAACAAAGGGCTTTTGGAGATTTGCCTCGTCGACTAGATCAGAATAGGGAGGAAGGTAGGAAACGTCGACGATTTTTGGGAATCTGTTTTTTCAATTTTCGGCAAACATCATTTCAAAAGATAAGGGAAAAATTGTCATTTTGTTTTAAATTGTGGGTGACAAATAGTAATTTGGATAATGACTATTTATTAACCAAACATTTTTTGGATATTTTTTTATTGGCCAAACCTATCAAAATATTAAGAATTAGTCGAATGTTAACCTCTAGTTAACAATTTTGTTAGTGATATTCACTTGGCAACATGATACTGACTTGGAAGAGACGCATGAAGGTTAACATTCTAAAATTTTAGTATTTTAACTAAAAGAAAGTTACAAAATTACTAACAATAACATAAAAATGGCTAATATTTTGATGAATTACGAAAGATTTAGCTATTTTAATAATTTTTGATAATATAAAAGAATATAAAAAGTTTTTTTATAAAAAATAGTAACACAATGGAAAACTGGAAATCAAGAATTCCATTCCATGCCCGCTAGAAAGAAATGAGAAATCGAAGGTTTGTCCAGATGGCTACGAGCGACGAAGACGAGGACACTCCGTCACAGCACCGGACTCGGTCGACGGAGAAATCGGAGGACTCTGGCGCGGCGGCTGAAGAGAATTCGCCTTGCGGACGAAGATGAAGACGAGGCGGTAGAAGAGAAAGACAAGGGAGGGAAGCGGAGGAAGAAAGGGAAGGAGGAAGAGGTCGAAGAAGAAGAGCCCGAGGAAGAGGATGAGGAAGAAGTAGTTCAGGAGGACGCGAAGCCTGTAGGCGAATCTGTGAAGGTTACTGGGAAGGGGGAAAACCGCCGAACTCACTACAAGGGCTTTGAATTCGACGGCATTCAATATGAGCTAGTGAGGAGTAAGTTATTTTTCGTCCCATTTCCTTCGCTGCTTTCGGAATTTTCTTTGTAGGTTGAATTTCTGGTGAGGGGATTATGAATTACATTTGTGGATTGATATCTCTCAAGTTGTTACACTTAGTACCACAAACTAGGCTTGCTTTTGCGTTTGCTGTGGGTTTGAAGTACCCGTTGGATAGATAATCGATGATATGTTGGTTTTGCAAGAGCTAAAAATCCATTACATTGTTTAATTTTCACAAATTTAACTTGGCTGTTGAAGGTTTGCTTAAGGCTTGGAACTTTGAGCTTCTGGTTTCCTTGAAGTTTCAGCCTTTCTGATCAATCACTCATTTATTAGTCAACCTGGTTTTGCTTCGGTTGTTTGTAGGAGGATCCAGTACTTTTGACTCCGGAGGACCAGGACCAGAAACCTTACGTTGCAATCATCAAGGTAATGGTTATACATAGTTTTTCTTTTTCTTTCATGGGGAGTTGAATGGACGTAATTATTTCCATTTTTGTATGTCTTTACTAGGCAGACCACGTTGAATCACCTTCCCTGAACTTGAAGTTTGTGTGGCTAGTCAATGCTGCTAGTTTTGCTGCTCGAGTTGATTATGAGACTGAGCACATGTTAAGCGGTAGCTCTGGCGGTAGAGTTTTGTAAAATAAATAGGTGGTTTGTTTCCTGTTACTAGGCTTGGTTAAAGAACACAAATGCATCCGTGGTACTATATTACATGACCACACCCATGTATTCGGTTTGGATTTCAAGATCTGTGTTATGTACTTTTGTTCATTGTAGTGGTAGCTGAACTGGGTATGCTGGAATGATTAAAAAAATCTGATGTGCACTTTTCCCCTATCGTTCCCAACTCGCTGATGCCTGCCAGTGAGATAAACACTTTACAAGGGTGATACCGGAGATCATTACTGATTTTTACTTTCTTCATACGTCGCCACATTTTTTTTGTGTTATTTGATGTCTTTCTCTTTTCATAGGTTGATCTTTGCTTCCGTTTTCTTCCTGGAGAATAAGAACATTATTTTCCTTGTATAATGTTCAAAATCTACACAGTTCCCTTGAATACGATTGCTTACCCTTGTGGTTATAGAAGTTTCTTGGTTGTGTATATATGTTAATTCTACCTCTACCCATTTTGCTTTTTATGTCTTTCCCAATTTGTTCAGCGACGTTGGTTTGCTGTTAACAGGATATCACTCAGACAAAAGAGGGCACTATGATGATCACTGGGCAATGATTTTATCGGCCATACGAGGCTGAGAAAAGAGGAGGCGGAAACTGGATATCATCTGATACCCGGGAGCTGTTTTATAGTTTCCATCTTGACGAGGTTCCTGCAGAGTCTGTACTGCACAAGTGTGTCGCGCATTTCATTCCTGTCCACAAGCAGATTCCTAATCGAAAGCAGGATCCTGGTTTCATTGTACAGAAAGTTTATGACACAGATAATAAGAAGCTGTGGCATCTAACTGATAAGGATTATGAAGATGATAAGCAGCATGAGATTGATATTCTTGTCCAAAAGACTCTCTCACGTCTAGTAGATCTTCCAGACATTGAGGTGGATGATGCTACCGCTGCGCCTTCTGGTGAGCCTGAAGACCAGTCAAAGGTTAAAAGAAGCGTGAGGAAAAGGAACATTTCACCTGTTGATATTTCAAGAGAGGAAGAGACAATTTTGGCAAGGGATGGTCTGAGAGCCGAGACACCAGGAAGCTGCACAAGCAATTCTGAATTCTATGCTATCCTGGTGAAGTTTAATGCATTGACTGGAGACACCCACCGTGACAGGTGTTTGGAGAAGCTGTTACAGAGTGTTCAGTATGCTTGCAGCTCCTCCACTGGTGGTGGTACAGATGACAGTGTTAAAGAGAAACCTGGTTCAAATGGGCAGACTAGTGCAAAGGAGGATAAGCCCCAGGAAACTGAAAATGATAGTACCCAACAGAAAAACCCAAAGGTGTGGTTAGTTGTTTTGCATATGGTATTTTCCCTAGAAATATAGGCCGAGTTTATATTTTCCTGCTGTGGTGAATTATTAGTTGAAACACAAGTTTTCTGAACTTTCAATACTTGATTCTGTCCATCTGTTTGTATTCTGCAGGATGACAAGTCATTCCCCTGGCCAGATGCTGCTGTTCCTGCTGTCAGTACTCTTGAGCGGGTCACACACGAGACTCTTTCTGCTGATAAGTACAACCAGAAGTTAAGACAACTTGTGTTCAATCTCAAGGTCAGTCTATCTATCATGTTTTACATGCATCTCTTTATCATTATGTTTCAATTCAGTTATTCGCTAATATTTTGTGAAGGCACTTCCATGGTTTTATTCAGTCATTAACTTTCCACCAAGACGGCCCGAGTAGAAAAGTACGAAGTGCATGGAGAAGAAATAGTTTTGATGTTATTGAAGGAACATGTTTTCCTAAAACTAAAATGATTGTTTAAGTTGTATTGGTTTTCGTTGTTTCTCCTTTAAAAGATTATCTGTCTGCCCTTTTAACAGAATAATGAGCGTTTTGAATGAAGAGTTGGAACCTTCCAAAATACTGGTCATGTCACCGAATGAGTTAAAGGTAATTAAATAGCGTGTCTACTTCTCTTTTGTGTTTGTAATTTGGTTTCTTCTGGTTTTTGGTAGTGTGTTGGACATTATTTAGTCTAATTTGTCCAAAATTCAGGAAGGGTCAACTGCGGAGGAAAGAAAGACCAACGAGCCTGAAGAATCTGTGCGCATGCAGGTGACTTTCCAACCACCTATTTTCAGAAATAGACATAGCCTGCCGAAGCATTTTGGTTCGATGCCCATTTGTTAATCTCACGTGTTTTGCGCGTTTCTTTTGGCCATGACCACTGTGACAGATGACTGATGCTCGTTGCGGGAGGTGCAATGAGTCCAAAGTGGGTATAAGGGACATCATTCAAGCAGGACACGAAGACCGCTATCAGGTTCTAAACTGCTTTTTCTAACCACTTATCAAACACAGCCTTTTCTACATTTTTGCTCCACTTTGAGAAACATCACTTATTTTCAGCAAAAGGTAAAACATAAGCACCCCATGTTCGTTTCCAGGCACTGATTTCCCTCTCCATAGGTGGTGGTTTACTCTCTTTTATCTATGCCATGAACAATGATTGAGCTGCATCTTTTTATGGGCGTGGTTTTCAGCTTGAGTGCATTGGCTGCGGCAACTCCTGGTATGCATCTAGGGACGAAGCATCCATGTTGACAATAGATGGTCCGACTACCTCGAAAACAGTAGGGATTGCACCATTGGCGACCGCAAAGTTTGAAGAAGTAGAAAAGCTGTTGAGTCCTCGGGAATCAGACAAGGCAACTGCAGTAGACTTGTCGAAGAAACTTGCAAATGAGCCGCCGGCACACGTACCACCTGTGCTCGAAACCCAGAACTCGATCGGCAAGTCCAAGGTACATGATGAGAATCATGGAGGCGCCGTCTCGAAGAAGGATCATCCTCAGACGAAGTAGGCCGGTGGGTTAGGGGGTTGTACAGAAGCAGAATGGACAGAGTTAGTTGTATATGTTGAGTCTGGAAATGGGGTTAATGCAGGTGATGAAATAGTAAGAACTAAGAAGTAGGGTTTAGACTAGCATTTCGAGAATGTAGTTTGCTAATGTAACACCGAGGTGGCTGTAAGAGCAGTTGAGGGGTTGATTCAGCGTCTTTTTGTTATGGTCGCATCTTCGTGTTGGGATGTGAACACAAGAAACCCGAAAATTGAAATCGAGCGCACTTGCCTTAGTGATTTTCGTGGCTTCAAGATCAAATGAACACATTCGACATATTGGTCCAACTCAACTCACGCATAAAAAACAATCATTCACTGAACTACTTGAGAACAATTTGAATTCTTATAATCTCGTCGTGTAAGATCTCCAAATCCAACATGGAGCTCTATATCTGACTGTCGAGCATGAGATTAGGTGCCAAAAGTAGGGTTGGAAGTTTGGTACCGGTATTTGGGATATACCGAATACCGTATCGAATTTGTCTATATTTGGTATTACAAAATACACGTATTATTTTGTGGGATTGGAATTGAATTTCAATTGTTATTCGGTATTAGGGATTACGAGATTGGGATCGGTATATACCGAAATATCGAAATATAAGCTAGTGTGTATTTTATCCTCTCAACTAGACTCTCTCATTCACTATTGCGCGACCAACAACCACCAAAAGTGTCATTTAATTATACATAGATCATTACATCACTATTTCACACTAGTATTAGTCGTTTCTCAACCTCAAATTCGTCAAATTTAAGATTACCAATTACAAGAACTTGAGATGTTAGTTTTAGGCAACTCAAGACTATTTGCTTAGTCTCTTTGCCCTAAATTAAATAATAAAATATAATTTATATATTTAATTATTAATTGCAAAGGTAATTAATTATGTATTCGATAATACCGATTGGGATACCGAGGTACCGATTGGGATACCGAAATTATTTAGGGATTGTGATTGGGATACCGAAATTATTTAGGGATTGAGATTGGAATTGATTTTAGGGTGTATTCGGTATTCGGGATTTCGATATTTGGTATTGGGATACTGATACCGTACCGATTTCCACCCCTAGCCAAAAGGATGTTCATTAATCACTTAACAAGACAAAGAGCTACTTACAAAAATCACGTCCCGAAAGCCACAACATACATGAAAAGGTAGGTGAAAAGCTCAATTTGGTCTTTACAACTTCCAAGATGCCAAGTGCACATGCCATCTTATTACGACATTGCCCTGATCCAAGACTCTCAATATGTCCGAACCGTTTCATTCCTCCAACTTCTCACAAAGCAACTCTATCTAATTTATGCCCTCATCTTGAATGGAGGTGTTGTTAATCAATAACAAATGGTTGGTCTCAAGAATAAGAGGCGAATAATTCCTCTTAAAAGCTTCCTAAAACCTTTTCAAACGTTAAAATAAGTGGTAAATATATAATGTGATGTTTAGACTATGAAAATAATCCATTAAATTTTACTCGTAACACTATTATTAGAATTATTAAGCCACAAGCCGACAAAAATTACCAAAAATCGAAAAACACGGTTCATCACGAAAAAAGCGCAGAACACTGTTCACCGTGGAACTTTATGATTTCCCGAGGGCGGTTTTAGCTGATCCGGTTCACTATTTTGGGCTAGCTAAGTTTTGACCGTTGATCAGTTAGTTTGTAATTCTTATCTCTAAAAACACGTCTTTGTGCATCTCTCTCTTGTCAGACCTTTTCTTTTGCAAATTGCGACAATCCTTCCCTCTCTCATGTTTAAATTTTTTCCCTATCCTTTCTCTACCCCATTCTTCTCTAACCTCCATTCTCTTCATCTCCCGTTTCTTTTCCAGAGAATCGAAACAAAGCAAAGGAAGGATCTCAGGGAAGATGGATCTGGAAGGGAAGAGCATGCTCTGCCTCCTATATATCTTAATCACCTCCGCGAAAACTGAAGGTGCGATAGTCGGATTAAGTCTTCTTCTCTTCAAAATCGATTCCATGGGGAAAGTTTCTCTGCCATTTCCATGCTTACCACTCAATCATACTGGGTTTAAGCCCTACCTAGCACGGTTGACATCCCAAGTTTGATTGGGGATTAGTTCTTCCTTTCCCCATTCTAGAAACCCTAATTGATGGAAGTCTCTGGTGGATTGAGCGAGATTGAGAATGGCTGGTTCAATGGTGGTCGTGGTTGGATTCTTTGTTGAGGAAAGCTTTGTTTGGGATTGCTTTGTTATAGGATTTGATGGAGAAGAAGGGATTACTCCGTTGCTCTGTTTGTATCCTTCTCCCTCTTTGTTTTTTTCCCCTTTCTTTTCAATTTCAGTTTTCTCTATCCAGTAAATGTTCCAAGCTAAGGTCAGACCCCAAATTTTATTCATTTTGTTTGATTAGGAGGAGCTGCTTGCGATGATTCATTGATCCATTTGCAGTACTGTTTATTTCCCCCCTTAGCCCATATGAACTTGAGGATAATAGGCAGCAAAGTGGGAATAGTATAATTTGATTCACAGTTTGTTTAACTATAATATGACTTTTGGATTTCCCAATCTGATTGCAACTTTGGAAAGACTAGAATTTTAGCACATCAGTTGATGATTCACTTGGGTCATGCTAGCAGCTTTATCATGAACCCTTATTGTTTGCCTCGATTGTGAATTTAGATCATAATCTTATTTCTCTCTATTCTCTTTTCATTCTGGAAATTTGTTTTCATTAGAGTAGCATGCAGTTTCATCTATGTTTGAATGCTTGAAAAGATATAGGGGTTGAAGTACTTGCAAGTAATAGTTGAGAATGAGTTAGCATGCTACGATTCCCACCATCTGTAATTATTATTAAAGCAATTTCATAGTGCGCTTTCATTTCTTCACTTAAAGATATCTTTGTTCGCAACTCTTTTCCCATCAGAAAGGCAACCACTCTTATTGCTGAGAATGTCATTACAGTTTTCGTAACGAAAACTGATAGGCGAATTTATTCCTTATATTGTAACCAACCACCCAAACCATGTCATTATTACCTATTCCATCCGAAGTTAAGATCTCTTTAGTGGACTTACGATTACTTGAAGCACTCGATTAGTCGTTTGGCCTTGGATGTATCACTACTTTTCAAGTAGTACACTATTAGAACTCGCATTATCGGTTGAAGATTTGTATATCCGTCATTGTTACTTATTTTTCATTCTACCGAAAATCCTTTTCAAGTTAACATATTTCCTTTTCTAATATCCATTATTTAGTTATTGCTTTGATACTTTCACTTATTTTCTCTAACATAGTAAAATTAAAATTTTCATATTTTCAATAGGTTCAAACCTTGCATATTTGGGATTTTTTTCTATAAAAAATTATTGGATACTTTTATCCTTGGTTAATCATCACAATTCATAGATTAACTCAAACCCGTTGCGTAGCACGGGCTAATTAACTAGTTTCTCTTATGAGAGAAAAGCGGTTGAAGACTTGACGTATTCAATCAACCACTATTGAAGTTAGCCAATGATGATCAAGGGTAGCGAGAAGTGAGTGTTGCCCTGCTGTTGCACAGGGTTCATAGGGTGAAGTGTGAGGAATTTCGATTTACTAGTTATGTAGTGAATGGCCGAATTTAAGATATGCTCTTAATGAAAGAGTTTAGGGGTGAAATAGATATAAACATAAAATAGAGGGAGGGAGGGACTTGGCAAACAATGCATGAAAAAACAGCCCAACCGACTGACGGTTGCTCCGTTGCAATCGCTCTCAGATTTCCAGTTTGCTTCCTCATCTTCCGCCTAAATCTGTGGGCTAAGATCAGGTGATTAAGAGGATCCCTTAGTCCACATGACTATTGAATTTCAACCCTTCCGCCTCATTAAAATCCAATGATTACAATTAATCTAATTTAATGAAGTAATTACATTACTATTTAATTTATTAATTAAAAATATTTCTTCCCCACACCTACATTCCCCGTCGGTTAGAAAAAAATCCTAGCGTCTATTTCGGGACAGGTTACGGTGATTACTACAAAGTAGTAATCACCGTAGTTACTAAGGGTAAATTGGGTATGGAAAAATAAATTATATTAATTAATTTTTAATAAATCACATTTTAGGTAGTTACAAAAATCTATTAATTAAAATTATCTCTTTCTCTCACTTCCGTGATCTCCAGCCAGATTTCCTTTCCATACTTTTCTCAATCTTTCTGCAAAAAAAAAAAAAAAAAAAAAAAAAAGAAATCAGTACCAATCCATTAGACAAACACTACCACTTTGAAAAACATTAATACCATTGCAGAAATAAATCTATACCATTACCCGAAAACTACCATTGCAGAAATAAATCTATACCATTACACGAAAAGTACCAATATAAACAATCAATACCATTGTAGAAATAAATCTATACCATTACACGAAAACTACCAATATAAACAATCTATACCACTCAATTTACGAAAACTACCAATACAAGGACTATAGAAAAAAATCACTACCAATATGAGGAAAAAAACACTACCATTGCGAAAAAACAATACCAATGCGACAAAAACAATACCAATGCGAAAAACTCTACCACTACAAAAAAATCACTACGAATATGAAAAAAATATATACCAATAAAAAAATAGCCATCTGTTCTTTAGTCCAATTCTCCCGATAAAAAAAAGCCATATTGATCGAGATTTGTAGAAGAAGTAGAGAGAGAGAGAGAGAGAGAGAGAGAGAGAGAGAGAGAGAGAGAGAGAGAGAGAGATCGGGGTTTACCTGAGATCAATAGTTGTGGGAAGGGTCCCCTGCGGAAGAAGAAGAATAGAAGGAGGGAGAGAGGGGAGAAGAATGGCCGGCGCAGATAGAAAGAGGGGGGAGGAGGGATGGCCGGGGCGGAAGGTGGTGGAGGGTTGGGAGAAATCTTGATTAGGGAGTGGGCGTAGGGTTAGGGGAGAGGAAGGAAATGGTAAGTTATAAATATAGGTAATAATCTGGTGTAGTAATATTTTGATTCCAACATTACCCTTAATATAATCTTAACCGTCATTTTAAAAAAGGAAAAAATAGAGCTAATGAAAGGTTTAGATGTAAGTTGACACGGTGGTTACTAAAAAATTAGTATCCACTGTAACCCATTCCGTCTATTTCCTCCGGCTTCTTCACCGGCCCAATGTCCTGTCTCTTCCTCGCCGGTGCCAGTTCC